TATATATATATAAGTCGGAATAGAAGGTTCCGATTAGGGTGGCCTGAGTGGCCAGGTGGTTCTTTATAAATACTATCCATGGTGAGTACTCACTACCTTTTAGAAGAAAATCGAAATAAAAACATAGCATGGAAAGTTTGTACTTGGTAGTAGAATAACCACACAACCAACTATCTAGTACACAGTAAACGGCAGTATTGTGGAGTTGTCTTGTACCCAGCGATTCGTTTTCGAATGTGTCTCAAGTAAACCTGTCCACGTTCAGTCAGTCTATTAGGCAAACAATGTTATAAAAGCGCAGCTGCATCCAATATATTAAATTTTAGTGCGCACAGGTGACGTGTGCTTACTTCGTACACAAATTAATGAGTGAATTAATTATGAATCGTAGACGCAATTTCCGATATAATGTACGTATTATATTTTATTTACAATCTGTACATATAAAGAATGAATCAAGTCAATGAAAAAAGGATAAAAAAACAGGAAAACAAGTGGCAAAAACAAAAAAGAAGATCCACCGGGAATCTCCGTTGCCATCTCAATGCGCAAATCTGGTGCAGATGCAATTACGCTTCATCTGGTCTCAGTGACTCGAGCTCGACAATTTATTTCTCTTTTTTATTTATACTTTATTAGACTACGGAGTATTTTTATATTGTACCCTTGTACCCTTTAAATATGTGATTTTATACTTGGTTATCGTATTAAATTTTATATTGCACGCGAACAAACTGAGGAAGTCGCGTAAAAGTAGGAGTAGTAGTGCTACACATTTCCAGCAAAACACGCCTCAGCCAGAGCCGTTCTTTAACGACGGTATTATGTTGTCTTTACGTTAAAAGTTGCCAAGTTATGAAGATGGTTGTTGATCATTTACTTGTTTAATATTCTATTTTATCAAAAGGTAAACCACGTTGTTAACTTTAGTGCACAATAGGCCACAAGTAGTTATTAATGGGCAATAAGGGATCGCTACGAACGTGTGAACACTGTGATTACCTGATGTTTTGACAAGCAGAGCTTCAAGACAATGTGCTTTAACGAGCCCGTAAACATAAACATGGTTTATTACCTACTTCGCTCATCAAAATTTTATTATCTTCCAAAATGACAAACAAACTCCGGATGAGAGAAATATTATATCATGATTGTCTTTATGAATGTAGCAGAATATTTACTGACGGTTTTATTTATTTACTTAATAACAGGAACACAGCAATTTTCCTGGAGATTACTTAGCTTTGTTACAAAGTGCAACTAGGTAACGTTGTTTTATTTTTTCTACTTCTACTATCCTGAATATCTCGTTTACTTTCTAAATACAACGAACTGTTCAACAACAACAAAGAACTGTTCTTTTGTAAGCGGCCGAATAAAAATTACGTTGTCGTATCTATACCATCGACTGTCATAACATAAACCAATAAATAAATGTATTAGAGTTCTCGCTTCATTTATTTCTTCCATTAAAACAGTATTGAAAATATAAATTGATATTTTAAGATAATACTGAATAAGGAATTTTTTGGTAGAGTTTGTTTTGAGCAAACAGAATACATAAGAGGTTTTGTATCAGTAATAACAATTACGTAGTCTATGTTGTGCTATCCACCAAGGGGGTTTAGTGTAAAATATATTGTTTATTATATATAGGGTCGGTTTTTGGTTTTTTGGTAACAATCTACATTGATATAATTCAGTGAAGACGAGATTGACGTTAGAGCGTACAGTGCGTCTATTTTCTCAATGTCCCTCGGCAAACTTCGTGTTTCGGGTTTTCTTCAGTTGCCCTGTGCCTTTGGAACAGATCGGACGCTTTCAGACGACGTGGAAGTATATAGAGTTGCTATTACATTTTTTATTTATAGCTATGTCAGATGAAGAAATGCGTTCAAATATGGACTGAATTGAAATGATTAATAACCGGAAAAATATTCATTTTTAGTTATATAAAAGAAGCACACTTTATTTACTTGTTATTTTTGGTAACTTGCTTATTAATATGGCGTAAATATTATTAAAAATAGGGAATGGGAATTAATATTCGTGTGTATTCGGAAATCCGCTGATTGCCGACAGACATTGAGAAAATAGAAGCACTGTACTACCATAGATGTAGGAAATATATCTATGGTACTAACCAAGATATGTCTATTTATCCTATTCCTGAGAATGTCGGTTATATGCACACACAGTTAACATGTGCCATTCCCTGACTGTGTACATTAACATTTGCATCTCAGTGAACCGTTATCATGGGACCTGTAAAGGGCCCGAAACATTGGTTTGTTTTAAAAAACAAATATACGCCAATGAGATCCGAAAATGGAACAAATATCATTTCATATTTATTATAGTTCAATTTATCAGACAAGAATAACAAATTTTTCGTCCCCTTATTTACTTACAGGGTTACGAAGACGAACCAATATCGAAAATCTTGGCGCATATTGGTGAGAGCGACACAGTACTGCTGGACAGGTGGCAGCTGACGGTAGAACCCAACACATCAGCGTCTGGAGAGGATACCACCCATGCTAAACCCGAACTGCCTCTCAACGTCGTCAATAATTACTTCTCGTTTGGAGTTGACGCACACATAGCTCTTGAATTCCATGAAGCCAGAGGTAATTGTTTACATACCGTGTTACGTCTTAAATTTAACAGATTTATGTATCGCAGAACGACATTTTTTCCACGTGCACTTTTGTGCGTATTTCGTATTTGAAGGCCTATTAATTGCCTCAAACCGATAGAGCACTGTAAAGTTTTCGGTGCCTGAATAAAAACTATTGCTTATAAACAAATTCCCATCGGGAGCACATATTATAACTTGGAGAATAAAACAGTCCTTACTTTGGCCAATATGAAAATATGCGCTCCCGACGGAACCTTTATTCACTACAACCGACCTTCATTTTTTGTATTTTTTTCATATTTTCGTGCTTGTTTTTCGTAACTTTCAGAGCGCACCTTTTGGTATTACTTCTGACAATTCGCTGTTCTAATTAACTAACACGTACGCTAATTTTAAATGTGTGCGGTTGCTGAGTATTGTGTTAATTAAATAAAATGTATAACCATTATTCAGCCAACATAATATCTTAAATTAATACACATTAAGAGATTGTTTTTATTAGTATTAGTCAATAAGCTAAACTGCAAACAATAGCTTTAGGTATAATGGGTATATATTATAAATAAAGGTATAATGTGCGTCGTGTCCGCCAGTGTATTTATTGTATAGTATGTGGAAATCAGTATTAAGAAATTGGCTGCGGACAGTTTGTAAATGGAGCGATAAATGTGTCGTATTCCATTGGATTAGTTACGGCAGTTAATATCACGTTTGATATTATTAGAGATCGAAGTCTAGCTGTAAAAGCATAAAGAAGTGAACAGTTTTTTTCAACCTACATGATCCCCTATATCGATCCTTGAATGTAGCAGGTTATTCTAATCTGTACAAATGTAAATTATCTGTCATCACTCGATATTCTTCGTTATAAAATAGGGGAGAAGACCTTTGCGGGGACCTTTGAATAATCTTTACATACCTGGTTGTAAAATCCTAAATCATTATTATTTATTTGTTTTTTTTTTGCTGCTCTAGTTAGACCTCTTATTTGGCTCTCAAATCAAAAATATTTTTATCAAACTCATTATCAAAAATATTTTATAGTATATATAGTTCTTCAACCTATTTAGTCCAATCTATAGTCACAATAAATAAATAACGCGCACACTCAACATAGCCCCGCACTAGGGAAATCCTGTGTCGCGGGTGCCATGGACACACACATAGACAACCACAAATTACACCCATACTCACGAGAGAAATAATTGTAGGCCATACAACTATTTCTCCCGGCCCGGGAATCGAACCTGGGACCTCTACGTGGCAGTCCGGCATGGTAACCGTTCGGCCACCGAGGCAGTTATCAAGACTATTAAAAAAAGATTGGACGGAACCGAAAGTCAGTAAAGTTTGAATTATTAACTGCAATATAAAAAATAAATTAAAACTTAACTTATTCTTAAGTAATCAATTATAAAATCACATTACTATGTGATTTTGTACTCAAAACAGAAAAAAATAACTAAAAAAGTAAACAAAACCTCTTCTTATAAAAATATTAGCAGGGGAACTAATCAGAACCCCTTGATTTATTCAAATCTGTCCTAATAGGTACTCTACAAAACAATTAATTTTTTTCATGCGTAAAAACACTCAATGATTGCAAGTTTAATATTTTAGCATTACAACAATCCATATGACAAACAAAGTTAAATTTACCATTATCTACATTCTTCCAATAATTACAACTATTTTTGAGAATGTTTACTTTTCGACGCTGAAACTAAACACGACCTCTCATTTAGTTTTTGGCACGCGCACACTGACTGTTGCCACCATATTGTCACTAACTGGTGTGGGGCTCGGTGGTTCTTTATTATAAACATAATTCCTACTACATTTTCATTCAAAATGACTGCGCATTTGTTCTAAGCTCTCCCTGTTCAAATTTTATAAAAAAAAACGTGTTTTATTCGGAACTTGAAGCGGGAAATTCGTGGTTAATGTTGATTATAATATAAATTATATTCTTTGTACTACTGTTCTTTTTTTTTATCATACCAAGTGACGGGACGAACAAGTCGTTCGTCTGGTGATAAGCGACATGACTGTCCATAGCAGTTGCAGTGCCACTCAGAGTTTTTAAACGCAAAGATCTGAAGGGCACCAATACTGCGTCACCCTGAGTCATAAGTTGACAAATCTCATACGCCTATAATTTCACCAGCACCCCTACCCTTAAAAACCGGAACATAATAATACTCGCATTATTGCTTGGCGGCAGAAATAGGTGGGGTGGCAGTACTTCCCTGGACGAACTCTATCACAAAGAATTCTACTGTTACTAAAGATATCAAAGTTTGTGGTCAAAGTCTCCTAATAATAATTCTTCTTTATGACCCTAGTAATATAGGCCTGAGTGCAAAACTTAAATAGTATTTTTATTATTTAGACGTCGTAGGCCCAATTGTTAAATGTGTAAAAAATAAATTTCTCAACTTTCCAATGCAGAGGCCCATCCTGAGAAGTTTAACTCGCGTATTAGGAACAAATTATTCTACGGTACTGCGGGCGGAAAGGATCTGATGCAGCGCAAGTGGAAGGGGCTAGCAGATTTCGTTACCATGGAGTGCGACGGCAAAGACCTCACTCCCGTACTTCGGGAACATAAAGTGCATGCTATAGTTTTTCTAAACATTCCAAGGTAAGATAAAATTAGAATTCATTTATTTCTTTGTGGTAATATCGGCGTACAAATAAGAGCGGTTACACACGCGCGCGATTTTAAGCAGCGTTGCAAAGGCGATGCAAGCGCGCGACTGCATCCCGTCGCGCGTCAAAGTGGCCGTGTGTATGTTTGGTGTTCATTTAGAGTTGTCTAAATGAACGCCAAACACAGGTTTAATTTGGTGAACAAAAAGGTTCTGAGTATTTTTATAAAGCGCATACCCTTTGGCAAAAAGTGTGAAATGAATTGTTACGTAACATTTACAAATACAAAGTACCTGCTCTCGAAAATGGTAATTTTATTTAAAGTGTATTTATTATATCCAAATACAAAACATCATAACTCGTATAAGTTATATATTTTACATGTACCTCCATAATAAGAGGCGAATAGGCTATATTTATATTAATAAAAAAATGTATATTTCAACATGATTACTCCCTAGTTGGATGAGGATGTCCCGGGTGTGACGATGCTGACCTCCTTCATCGTCATCTCACCTTTTTATCACTCTTTACTGGTTCCTGGCCAGTTACTTTTAAAATTTTGAATCGTTCTCGAATTCCCTTTCCTTCCACTATTTAATTCCGTCATCACTTCCATATCTATTCTGAAAGCGAGAGGAGGTGTTCATGGAGAATCCTCATTAAACCTAACTTCACGTGATTTACTTGTTTTTCATCATTAGAATACGTATATAGGCCCTCTTGGGGTAAGTAGACAGTATTAGTATGGAGTGTTTTATACTGTTTGTACCTTATTTATATCATTTTATAATTTTTTGTTACAGATTTTTTCTTTATTAGACATAAATTTATTAAAGGTTTAATAAAATGTAGATAGAGCCCTTCTATTTTACTTTCATTGAGGCTAGGCCACACGCGTTCGATTCCCGTTAGAATCAATTTGGGAAATGAGCTTTTCTCAATTGGTTCTGTATTGAACGTTCTGGGTAGTGCCCCAGAGTGAATTTCGTTTCTGTGGTACTCCGAGCACAGGCCATACTTTAGTTTGAGACTAGACAAGTGGTGTGGTTATCAGGTGGTCACGCTATTATTACTTTTATATGTATTTATTATTATTAATTCAAACGTTTTGCTCGTAACAGAATTTATTATATATATATTTTTTACTTTTTATTTATTTAGGAAATTTGATCGTGATTGAATCTATCTTATAGAATTTGTTTACAGCTACGGGGGTGGGACTCATCCTTGGAACAAATCCGGAGGAGCCTACGAACCGTCAACCGAGGATGGCCTCATCGAAGTCGTTGGCCTCACCACATACCAATTGGTAAGTTGGTAATTGGTAGTCAATATGAGCTTTCGTAGAAAACAGTGTTATTTCTTATCAATTATACATTCACATGAACGCAACATACAAGCGATGACAACTACAACTCTAGCTTACTTACAACTTTCAATTGTAACGATGACTTGTTTTGCTATTGATTGCTTTGCTACATACATGTGACGTGACTTTGTCTCAATAACGCTTTTCGTAAAAAGCCTAGGAAAATATATTTATTGTAGGAGTTATTATTTCTGCTCAGATTTTAAGAAAAATCCAGCAATGTCGGACCAACAAAAAGCGGTTCGCCGGTACACTATGAAATTGCGAACAAGTGAACAAAGCCGAAACGGTGAATAAATTTAATTTAGGTCGTGTAGTAGATATCCAATTCAAATTTTCTCTGTGTTATTTTAATATAATAGAAAAAATAATTCTGTGTAAAGACACTCCCACGTAGACATTATGTTTGAGGAATATTCGAGCGATATGCCAATGCACCTCACATACTTTGAATACGATATTTTATGCAAACAAATAAATCAAGAAAAGCTTATGTACAATTCTGTAAAATTTTATACGCGACTTCGTTTCTTGTATTCAATAAAAATATCCGACAAGGAAATACAGTATAGAAGTTTTTGAATGAAATACGTAGGAACTCAGCGCTTTTGCAGTATTTGTAATCTATTATAACAACTGTAGAATAACAAAAGTTGTTCTTCGTAGCCGTTACTACAAGCAGGAGGGCACGGCACATGCATAACTCAATGCAAGACTGCAAAGATAGTGACCACGAAGGTGATCCCCATGCAGGTGGATGGCGAGGCGTGCAGGCTCGCTCCCTCCGTCATCACACTATCTAGGCTAAACCAGGCAATCATGCTCGCTAAGAGGAAACCTGGACGAGTCATTGCACCGTGAGTACTAGTTAAAAATATTATACAATCTGTAAATATCATCTGATATCGTCATCTGACTTTTGTTCTGTTTCTCCTTTATCTGTAATGCATATTAACATGTTTTTGGAGTTGAGTTTATTTTATCATTTACATTTCGGACTTTATCCAAAGACCTTCGATAATCCTCAGCTGAGTCGGGCTTCTTGTAATACTCTTATCCCAAACGTATTACTAGATGTGGACGCAAAATGCACTTTAAAATAGAAGATAAATAACTTACTATAGATCTTGTCACCAAATATCCTACCATTAGAGATCCCACGGTAACCATTAATCATCGAGATCATAACGAGTAGATTGATCGAGACATTACTCTTAATGATGTTTCTAATATAATAAATGTATGGACGTCTAATAAGATTGGTAGAGATGGATTGGAATAGCATAGGCTTCGTCTTAGCTTTTTTAACTTGTTATATTATACCTTATATATTAAGTAGATAAAACTGTTAAAAAATATCCTTGGAAATTATGAACACGTCCTGACTGTCATATTGGCTACAGAAACAAGTACTGACTAAAATATAGTTGAGCATATCAGCATATTACTTCCAACCACACAACAACAACTAACTTCCAACAAAGTTCAATATATGTAATTTGTCTAAGTTAGTCATGTAGCATTTGCATTTCAGACAAACGACTTTGGACAAACTTACACTCACTGTGAATCTCATTACAATGGCTGATTACGAGAGACATCATTATGACAAGGAACTCCTTGCGAAAACGGGTAAGTCTTAATATTATGTGAAACAAAAGCGTCCTCTTTTGGCATAAATTGACTATTATTATTGTAATAATAAGTTTATTGAATATCGCGACCTTTTACTACTATTATATTCAATTAAGTACTTATTTATTGTGAAGTTACTTCACTAGTTTTTATAATTACCAATTAATATAAAGCTCGAACACAAAGAAAAAATATTTGATCCGGCTGGACTCGAGCCAGCACCTTCACCATACCGTGGTTGACGCTCTCTCAACGGAGCTACGGAAGGAAATAGCAGACTGTAAGTCTCGATTACTATTCGAACCCCTGTCGCCAAAACTTACACGATTAAACTGCCTCTGTGGCCGTACGGTTACCATGCCGGACTGCCACGTAGAGGTCCCAGGCTCGATTCCCGGGCCGGGAGGAATATTGGGTGAGTTTGGGTGTAATTTGTGATTGTCTATGTATGATTGTCCATGACACCCGCCACTCAGGGTTTCCCTAGTGCAGGGCTATGTTGAGTTAAAAAAAATCATATCACAGTCTAATCAATTATTATCATATGTTAAAACTTTACAAAATCTTTATGATGATTCTATATTATGTTATTGACATCATGATATCATATTGATGATTGATATTATGATTGACAGAGGTCGTAGTTTCTAATTTAAAAAGATGTAAGTAATTCTGGAGTGTTAATATAATTTAAATTTTACGCACTTAGCATATCCTTGAAAGTTCAAACCTATTATTGCAAGTTACGACGTTTTGATTTTATATTGAAATTTCGTTCAATGTGCTGCCATCTACTGGAAATATTTGAAAGACGACAAACGGTTAACGCCTATTAACGTTCTCCAAAAAAAGTCAACCATATTGCAGCGGTTTAAGATTTATTTTCGTTTCATATAAGAAAAGTCTAAGCACTTCTACTGTATTTATTGTTATGTGGGTTTTAACGACTTTTTTGCCGTAGCGTCGCCGCTGTTATTTCTTGTTTTCGTTTTTAATTTATTATATATTTTCCCTGATCTTTTAAATACATTGTTATTTACCATCACTTAAAATTAAATTTACCTAGCGCTTATTATTACATATAATAAGGTTCCCATTCAAATTTAATAAGTGAAAACCTTAACACGCCTAAACACGAACGCTCGCTGATGTCAATGCATATTTAGAATATGCATTTCAAAGACATATAATTAATTAACTTTTCTTTTCTAAACTTAACTCCCTCGTAATTCTTCAATTTCGTAAAAAAAGAAAATTTCTCGCAAATGTTGTTTTAAAAGTTAGAGTAAGATTGTCCTTACTTAGGTCAACATATTCGAATCATTTTAACAATGCTTAGTAACAAGAGCGTATGGTTATAAATAGTTTAAGATTCGAGAAGGTTTGTTAAATATGAGTGCAATAGCATCAATTTATATTCAAAAATTCTTCGAGAACTTTACGTTATATAAGAGAAGCGGTTCGTTGAGCTAAAACTGCTGGTAAATATTCAGTGAGTTCCGCTTTTTGTCTATGCCTCTCTCGAATGAACTTGTAGCGAATTGAATCGATTTCTATTAAATCGACTTAATTTAGAACCAATGGGCAAATTATTTAAATAGCTCTAACCAAAATAATAATGGTGCTCTTTATGTAGACACAAACAAAACTTTATTTACCGCCGCTACTCGAGATAATATTCTAATAGAAATCACTTGAAAACATTTATTACAAGTAAGGCTTTGTGCTAAACGATACGAATGTAAGTCAAGGTTCTCAGTTCTGAAAGCCTCCAAAAATAATCATAGATAAAGCCTAACAAACTACCACTGTGTTTTTTTAAGTAATAAGGAAACAGTCAAAGTGTTTGTTTCAGCCGAACGTGTAGGAACTTTGGAAGTAAATCCAGCGACAGACTTGGAGCAGATGCGAACCCTCATTCAGAACATGATCAAAGAATCTCAAGCGTACTCAAATCTCGTGGATTGGTGGTTTGTCGATTGTGAGTCATGACGCACTTACCTACGTTTCCCTGATGGCTTTTGCCTTTCAGATGTTTGATAAAGTGCCCCGAAGCTGTCCCGATTTCATTCCAGTGTATGAAATCGGAACGTATATAAAGTTGGGAATTTACAAATTTCACAGATGTCAAAGAGACAGTCAGGTGAACATATTTTACAGGTAGACATTTTTCGATACAGGTATAAAGTAAAAATAAATCATTACCAGTTTAACCAAATGGAGTTGCTTATTACATTCTCTGACACAGCCCTTTGTAATGCGAATTTTAAAAGGCTTTCATAAAATCATCATGTATACGATAAAATAATAATATCAAAGAAATATGCTACTGTAATTTACTTAGATGCCGCTATATTCTAGAGATGGAAAGGTAAAGTGAATTATAATAAATTACTTGTGTATTACTATGAAGTTCCTTCACATTTGATATTTAATACAAACAAAGACAGCTTTAAGTAAGTTACTTTTTGATCAATTAAAAACGTATTATTAACTTTATGTATATAACTAACTTTGTAGCAGTAACAGCAGAGCGATTTTTCCGGATCGACAAAGCCCAAGAGAATTTACATTATTCGGCCGACATCGGGAATGAAAATATTTACATTCTGGACGCGGCACCTTTGACTCCCGACACGGAGTCGACGGCGCCCCCCGACACCACCGCTACGGCTTCATTAGACCGCACTGGGCCCTCGGTCTCTCTCGATACCACGACTGGTCTCTCCGTATCGTTGGACATTTCGCAAAGCGTCGATACACCTAGCGCTGGCGTCTCTCTTGACGTTCCCGAGTCACATGCTAGGTAAACAACTAGATTATATTAACTGTACTTACACAACATAGATAACAGCTAGCGTAATGCCATAATTAATCAATCAAAGATAACAAGACTTGACTAGTCCATTAATACGCCAGACTATCATTAATAAATCTCTTTGTCTGACATTGTCCGACAGCGAGTCTGGTTTCGGCAGCCCTGCCAGAACTTCGGAGGAATTGCTCACACCCCAAACGCCGCCCCCCTCCATCCCAGTTTCCCATGCCCCTAAACTTTCAGTACACTCTGCCCCGAAATTAGAAGCGCAACTAATGCCCAAGGTGACCATGGCTCTAACGCAAGATTCCAACTCGCCTCCGCTCTGCACCAGCCCACCTGCAAGGGATCATCAACCCACACACGACTCCATCGCCCGTTTTAAAACGTGAGTTTACAAAACAAACAGTTAGTTGGGTTTGCGTGAACAATTTTAGTGACATGGATTATTCGCTTTATATCTTACAAAATGCTCTAGAGCGCTAAAGCTTTACAGAATTGGAATAGTTAACCATTTTTGTTTTTAACGTGTGTTATTTTTAGTTTCTTAGCGATTTATAATATGTTTAAACTAGAAATTGTGACTTCGTTTACATACCAATTTTTTGAATTGCACGCTTTATAAAGTCATTTCTTATGATTCACAACAGATATATGCAGCGATCGATTAATCTGTTGTTAGGTTCTCTACACAAGTTTGACCCCCTAAGAGCACGACGCACGATTGTTTTGAAACCGACATCTGCACTCTATCTATTCTTCTATTGCATGCAGCATTCATGAAAAACTATTTGGACTTGATCAGGAAGTGTTTGGCTATAGGTGAGACTCACTATCGTGTCCTATTAATTAGTACTTAGCACAGAAAGATGAAGTAGTTTATACAAAGTTTCTTAAACGTTACGTACAATTGCTAAAAATCTCAATAAAAAAAAACTGTCTTTTAATTATCGACATTTAGCTATTCTTCTTGAAAACGAAATAATTTCTATAAAAAATTTCAAAGTAAAAGTTAAACATTGTTACAGAAATTTACTGGAAAAAACTTCTGACGCTCTGCTAAAAGCGGCCAAAGTGGGAGATTTAAAGCTGGTAAGTTATTTTGCTACCTTTCCCTAGACAACAGTTTTGGGCAATATGTCCTCTCCGTAGTACTTCTAATGTTGTATTTGTTTGGAGAGTTGTACGATTGTTCTATGATAAATTAGTTCATAATGTTTCTTAATCTATAACAAAATAATTTATAGCTTTATTTGCTTTTTACTTCTTTAAGTATACAACATGCCATAAAGGTTCCGATTGTAACGTTATAAAAATGCATGTTTTCTAGATGAAAGAACTGCATGCAGCCGGGTATTCCCTCTTGTCAATTGACGCTAGTGGGCAAACGGCTCTACATATAGCTGCGCGATACGGGAACAAAGAAATCGTGAAGTATTTGATCGCATGCGCACCAACCGCTATCTTGAATATGAGGGATAATGAACGCGGGCAGACGGCGTTGCACAAGGCAGCGGCTCATAAGAGGCGGGCCATTTGCTGCATGCTCGTGGCGGGAGGAGCCTCCCTCACGCGGCAGGATCATGCTGGCTTGACACCCCGCGCCTTAGCACTCAGAGCCGACGACCATGATCTCGCTGCTTATTTAGAGAGTAAGTATGTTTTTTCTCAAGCAGCACGTTTATAAAAAACTATACACTTGAAATATGAGAAACGAAAACAGGGTTGGATATCTATTAACTAATTAAAAACTTTCAATGTAAAAAAATACGTGTATCACCTTATCTTACTTATTATAAACTTTCGGGAAAGCTTTTCTGTTTCCGAGAATGAGTTCTTAATTATAGAATTACTGCAAGCAGAGGATTGGACTTCAATGATCAAAGGCTAATATTATGGAACCTAAAAAGTAATAAGTATTCTCGCCTAAATTCGACTCTTGAACCGGATTTCTCTTTTCAGGTCAAGAACATTTCCAATTAGTGTCAGAAGACTTAGAAACTGCTGTTTAAAAGAAATACTTTTCAAAACATAAAGAAGAAGTTGTGGAAATGAGCAGTACAAAAGCGTGATACTATCGTTGTCGTCGTGTCGTGAATTATTATGACATTAGATACGAGTTATTATTACTTTGTAGCTCCGAAGTGATACTCAGATTTTATAGTTTAAAGATAATCAATGCACTACCTACTTATTTTTAATTATATTTCAAGTGAGAGTAATTTTAATGTTAGGTATGTACCTTTACATTTCAATGAAATAATGTAATTAAGAAAAAAATTAGTAAAGAATATTATTATAAAAAACTGTTATTTATAGTATGCTACTGATGAGGTGATATTTGAATTTGTATAGGTTATTTGTTGACCAGCCAAATGTGGTAAAATCGCTGTCTGGCGTAGTCATTAGTAAATAAAAATGGCTGTTGACTAATTTAGTCAACAGTTGCTGTTTGACTTGTTTAAAAATTTCGCAAAAATCGAATTCATAATATAATGATTTATTGATTAGAGACACAAGCGGGTTTTTTCATGCAAAAGGTTTAGGAGTTTCGATCAAGATAGAGACGTGATCTGAAGGTTACAAAATTATGGTTATTCTAGAGAAAACTACAACTCTGTCAAGTTTTAAAACTCATTGGCCTTTGTACGATAAAAATATCTAATCAATTTACTATTAGTATTACATTGATATACCTAATACTTATATAATAAATAAGGGAAGTTGTATTAGTTTTCCTGAGTAGGTAAATATTACATGGGACTCAGAACATTAATTTTGACGCTCGGTTTATTACATCGTTGAAAATCTTTTCTTTGGAGACAAGACGGCTGTTTTGTGAAGCATAATAGTTTGCTAAAGATTTTTGTCAACCGACAGTTCTTTTGTACGAATATCCTTATATTAATATAACTTTAACCGTTTTTTTGGTTCAGGAGACGCGATTATTCACACTACCCGTAAAAAAATTCAAGACTCGAAATAATCTAATCTACCTATGATTAAATTTTGTCGCGCTCGAATTCCATCGCCGTCTTATGTTGTTGTTAACTAGCCTTTGCGCTACATGCATGCATATTAAGTGCATCAGTCTGTAATGACATCTTACACAAGGCAAGCAAGCATAGGTGGCGCGCGAACAGCACGCAAACAGAGACATGCAACACGTAATTCACATGTGCATCTGATCGCACCCTAGAGTACATTAAATTGTTCTACATTTTGCGTTTGGTTTAAAAATATCTCGGAACTATGTGAGCAATTAATCTTAACGTCTTAGACTAAACTGCGTATTAACACATTAATAATGTATATTACGGTATTGTATTGTTATGATCTCAAGATTCTACATATGGTTGTTTGCGACCTGTTGTATTTAATTCGATCTTGTGCATGTCTACCTAGCGGCCTTTTATAGATGAATCCTATGTAAATAACGTATTTCAATTTTTTCTGTAAGTATATTTCTAATAAGGAGGTAGAAATGTTATAGGTTTTCAAAGTACTACTACGATATCGAATATGTTAGAAAAAAGTATCATTCTTCGAAACTCGAATAATTTTCGTTATTTTTGAATAAAATCAAAAGAATTACAATGGAACTATTATGATAATTAAGAACACTATTTTTTTCGAAATTGTTTGCTAGAAATGTTGTCGAAATCGGGATTATTAGTGTAATTTATGATTGTAATTATATTGCCAATATCTTAACGTGTAGATAATTTGCTAACCTATGAAATAAAGATATTTTGATATATCTATACTTTAATATTTAACGAATTTACTCGTACTACTACTCGCTGCTAAGCGAACAATGAAAGACAAAGCTGTGAGAATTTTTGGACATAATGTACAGTGTAAGTTCATTTAATAGTAAGCGAGATCTATGTACACCAAACAAATTTTTGTGAATTTCCTTGTGACTGTGGATAGATATTTTAAGATTTATATTATTCGGTAGTTAATGCATTGTGTTAGATAATATTACTGCTTCTGTACTTACCGAGTTCAAAACAATATGTGCGAATGATTGTTAAAACGAGTTGTAATTGTATTGAAAGAATAAATATCTGTACTTTTTACACGCGGACGTATGTATTCAGGGTGATTCCGAAAGGTGTTTGAGATTTTTGAGAAGGTGATTATTCCTAAGATAACGAACTTTTGCTATGGTACCACTGTTTCCGCGGTTTCAGAAAGATTCCCATTAAAGTTGTTTCTATTGATGAATTATAGACCCTTAAAAATTTCGCATATCTTTAAGAGTCACCCGTAATACGGGATGAATCTTTAGATATGGTACAAATTTTAAAAGCCAATTGTATGTTCTTATGAAAACAATTGTGGAGAAAAAAAATTATGGACCATGCACTAAAAGGCGCTATTATTTTTCCTAATACTGTTTTTTATTGAGTAGAATGAACTCTCTATAGCTGATCCGTGTCTACACTTAGACCCTGTACATCTACTTTAGAGTTACGTACGTCTACGTACGTCCCTTTGTTCCGTAGTTTACCAATCCCACTAGAATATGTATAGGATAAATCTAGCCGTAAGGTGCCGTAGGAGTAAATTGTACTTAATCACATAACAATTAGTCAGCACGCCTAGCGTTCCAATTCAACTTAATAATATCAATGCAATTTATTCCTAACATAAAAAAATGTGAATATAATAATTTTATAAAAATTATTTAGTATAATAATACGGTCTCATGGGCCTTTTTTCTAGTCGAGTGAGCAAATTTTCCTATGTTGCCTCTATTTACCCTACTTAACATTAACTTTAGAATTTCTATACTGTTTTGACTTTTGTTTGCTTTCAAAACACACTATAAATTACGACTTTGGCACATTGACTTCTTTTTACTTTGACAGTGTGTCTATTCCGTAAAATATATCTTGATTTGCGTGACAGGTGCGCAAAATTAAGGCGACGTGAATTTTTAGTTACGTCCTACAAATTGTATTTTTTTGAATATCATAAAATAATAATTATTTTACTTATGTTACCAAGCTATATTTATGTAAGGTAATAGAAATCTACAAATCATTGAGACATCCTTACTGGAGTTAATTCACTAAGAAACTTTCACAACTTAACACGCATTAGTTACGTCCGAAGGAAAAAGTTTGTGTTGGGACATATCGGAAATATAGAGTCGATTAATTCTTGCAGCCGAGAAGTAGTTGTTCTGAGCTACTGTTACTGTTATTTTCGGTTAAATTATATAATACTTTTGGTGAATTTTCATCCAATGTCTATTAATATACTATTATTTATTATGTATATACTATTATTTATTATGTATGCTCTGTTACATCAACGGAAATTAAACTAAAAATTAACAAATAATGGCACCCCGCTTTTCGGCATGATTAACGTGGAGGACCTTATTAATGAATTATATTTGTTGATTTCAGTTTATTACCATGATATTAAAACACTGATTTAAATATGTCATAGGTCAGTCGATATATTTTAACATCGATTATTGATTTCACTGATCGTGTCCCATCACTGATTCATGAAGTTTGACATGTGTCATTCTAGTCATGCTACATTTTACGGATTTTAATGCCATGAAGTACTCTGTGTATAATGCTCATAATATCGTACGCCGGTGTCACTAGTAAAAAACATAATTTTCTTGGGTTTACGTTTCTTGCGTAATTAAATTCCTTTTTATTTGTAAAATATTGTAGCATTCTGCTCAGAGTAGAATTCTACTCAGTCTAAAGTAAGTTAGTGTCCTTTTGACGAGTGATAAGTAGGATATTTATTCGGAAACATAACTGTAACATTATTACTTGCCAAGTTTGTAATTTAATAATTGAAGAGTGTCGGAACCAAAAACGAAGGAATTACTTTTTTATTTGTTCTTCTTTTGCGATACCGGTGGTTTTGTACGTTTCTATGAATAATTTATCCAACCTAAAGAGCAACTGCTAAATTCTCCTTTAAAATACGTTTTAAATGCACGGATCTGAACACAATGCAAGAAATCCATTCAGTAAAACTAATTGAAATTACAATCGATTTTTTATCGATTTAGCGGTTTTTGTTCCGCAGCTCTTCAGTTGTGTCTGTGACATCGACTTCAACGGTGTGCGATACGTATACTCTCGTAAATTCCGGGAACAGACGGAAGTTATGTCTACCATTACTTATATACATCCGACAAGCCAATACAAATAAAAATAATTTATAGTGATACTATCCCATGAGATATTACTGTAATCTTTGTATATTCTATATCAGAGGCCTTCATTCGTATAGGTAACGTGTTAATATTAATATTTATTACCTTAGTATACTTCACGACCAAGTTCTATCTTGAAAGTTTTTAACGAACATAAATTATATCATTAGATATTAATTATCCAAGTACTGATTTTCGAATAATGCTACTTCGATCGAATATTTCGTAGTTTATATCTATTGTGTCCTAACCTAACTCAATTGTTGCTGTGCATTGCCTTCTACACATGTACGGTACTACGTACGTTACATTGACTTCTATCTATTACTTTTTGAAATGTGCAGCTATATTACTTAGTCATTTGTTTTCTATTCTCAGTGTGTTACAAATATTTGTGCGCTTTTAAAGCTGAATCTTTCGCAGATGAAAACAGAACCAATTATCTGTTTCGATTTTTAATGTAAGTTCGGTACGATTTGAACGCTTGTCTAGTAATTCTCCCACAATTTTCAGAATATTCAAAAAACAATGTTAATTGCTATAAGCACATAAATATATTTTTTACCAATTTTTATATTATTACACCTATACAGAGCTGCATAATCATACTTATAGGAAGGACCATGCGTTGATAACGCCATTGTTTGTTCAAAATAAGGAACATACATTATTGCATTCCATTCGTCAGTAACTAAACATCCATTTTATTATAGTAACTTTCGTAATTAACTATTTATGTTTATATAAATTTATCTCAACCTTATTACTTTTATATTTAATGTTTAGCTGAACTACGAAATAATATACATATTTCTCTACCACTGAGATTTTGTCTTACGCTTACCTTACTTATTACTTTTCTGGTACATGAATTTAGATTTAGAAAGTTAAATTCTGTATAAATAATATATAGTTTGTTTAAAATAGCGAAACGAAAAAAGGAAAAATACAAAATTGCATTTTTATGTAACACCTGTGATATAAATTCAGGCATGTCTCAGATTTTGACATCT